GGGAGTCTGCTTCTCCCTCTGACCCTCCCCCCTCTCATGTCCTCGCTCTCTCTCATTCTCTCTCTCTCAAATAAATAAATAAAATCTTAAAAAAAATAAAAATAAACTGATAAAAGGCTGCAAGTAGGGGATCAGCTGAAACAGAAAAGTCAAAAAATCTGAAAACTACGTATCTACTATGCATGTAATTCCTCTTCCCTTTCCTAAATAACTTGAGAAATGATTTGTTGTACAAGAGCAAATCTATAAAACTCTTTTGAGCAGCATTTCCTAAGTGCATGAAGGACAAAGTTTCTATCCATGTGCACACATCGGTGTATTGAAATTCATAGGGTTAAACAGAATCTAATGTTATCTAGTAGCACCCTCCATTCCTCATTGTCTGGTCTCTCATCCAATGACAATTTGACAGGATTTTTTACTTTCAACTCTTGTTTATTATCAGGTGTTCAATGTTCTTGATGAGGGAAGAGGGTCACCTTGAAAAACAAATACAGGCATATGTATCCCTCATGCAGTTACTACCTCTGGATTATGATTGTGATTTTTGCCAATGAAGCACACTGCAAGCTAATTCATTAACTCATCAAAGATTTACTGAGCACCGCCTACTGCCATGAATTTATTCATTCAATAATATATTGAATGCTTTCCTGCATGTAGGCACTGTTCTATGTAGTGGATACAAAGTGATTCTCCTCCTTCAGCTTATATTTTGAATTAGGAATCATATTAGGCACTGGAGATAAGATGGATCCTGCCCAAAGGGAACTAACAATTCAATAAAGGGGGAAGGCATGTAAACAAATAATTCTAATACTCTGTGTTAAGAGGGAGATGTATACATGCCCAGGGATGGCACAGAGGAGAGAGTAGTTAACTCAATATAAAATAGAACGTTTGGTTCAGGTTGAGCTTAGGATCAGGGCAAAGATGCTTTCAAGTGAGCTGCACCAGAGTATCTTCTATTAGGACACAGTCTAAAAAATTCAGTATTTATAATCAGTTTTACATATTGACCTATCAAGTATGGTATTGTGCAATTATCATGCTGAAGGTATTATTCTAGATACTACCAATAAACCTAGCATAAGATCCATTGCTTTTATAATCCATAAAATTCCCAAATTCTCAATTACAAAACAATGGATCAACATTTAGCTCAGAAACAAATAGCAATTCAACATAAAATATTTTTAAAAGCAGCCCATGACTGTCCAGAGAGTGATGCAGATAGGTGGGTGCTAAAAAAAATTTCAATTACTAAAGATAGCAGTTAATACAAATGGTGCTAGAAGAACAAATCAAAGGACTCAAATGCCACAAGATGTCCCAGTACAGAGTAATAATAATCATTTATTGGGGTGCCTGGGTGGCTCAGTCGGTTAAAGTGACTGACTCTTGGTTTTGGCTCAGGTCATGATCTCAGGGTCCTGGGATCCAGTCCT